CTGCTACAGATGGGAGTGCAACACACTGGTGGCACCTCGCCCTGTAATAGGTGGTATGGGTGCGCAACTGCTTGGAGCGGTCGACGACGCCGCCGGGGACGACTCCGTTCCAACTGTTGACCGGGAAGAAGCCCGACCTCACGCTGGCACGGGTATGGTGCTGCATGGTGCAGTTCATGGTCCCCGAGCAGCAGCGCGGTGGGAAGCTGGCGCCGAAGGCTCGCTGGGGACTTCACCTTGGAGTGTCGTCGGAGAGCAAGGGCTGGGAGGTGTTGGACTTGATCGACAGCAAGGTGGTCACGTCGGTCGAGGTGATCTTCTACGAGATTAACGGTGTCGCTGGAGGTGTGGAAGGCGAAACATGGCCCAGCGTCGGGGCGGACGCAGGCACACCCGCCGACGGACACCTCGACGGCGACGTTCCCGCTCTCGCTGAGGTCGACGAGCCTGGTGATGAGGACGTCCAGGACGTCCCTTCTCTTCCCTCTGTTCCTGCTTCTCCCACCCCCGTCGCAGATCTGCCAGCGTGGACACCAGTGTCGGCCACTAGCGATGAGGGGAGCCTTGAGGCGTCGCCTGTGGCGCCGGCCAGTGGCATCGCCTGCGACCGACTTGATGCCAAGCTCGTCGACGAGGGTACAAAATCGTCGACGATAAGGGGGCAGCAGACAGGGGAGCTGATGGAGAAGGAGGTAGCAGCAGAGGTGTCACAGACAGGGGAGCAGCAGACGAGGCAGTCAACAAGGGAGCTGTCAACGAAAGAGGAGTTGGCTAAGAGTCAGATGCTGGTGGAGCAGCTCGTCGACGACGAGACTGTCGACGATGAAGGGGAGCTGTCGGCCGGTGAGGATTCTACCGATAGCGATGTGGTGGAGGTTCCGATTGAGAAGCCCGGACTGCCCGAACTGCGACGTTCGGGTCGAACGCGGAAGCCGCAGGAGTGGCTGTGTCTTCACGCATGTCTGCCTCCAGCCGCCTTCATCACACAGCTCGACGATGCAGAGGCTGATGTTGAAATCCTCGAGCTCGACCCCGACGAGCACGCCGACCTTGAGCACCGCTGAGACATTGCGACGATGACGGTGAAGGAGGCGTTAGTGAGCTGGAAAAGCAATGTGGTGAAAGCCGCCATGGATGAGGAGATCCGGAGCCTAACCAGCAACGACACGTGGGAGTTGGTCGAACGCCCACGCGGGGTGAACATCATGAAGAACCGGTGGGTGCTGATGACCAAGTACCACATCGACGACACCGTCGAGCGTGAGTTGGCGAGGCTGGTCGTGAAGGGCTTCACACAGGTGTACGGCGCCGACTACGACAAGACGTACTCTCCGGTCAGTAGCTACGTCACTCTGAGGATCTTCCTCAACATCATTGCCGTCCTCGACCTCAACCTGATGCAGCTCGACATGAAGAACGCTTTCCTGCAGAGTAAGCTCGACCGGGTGCTGTACATGTACCAGCCGGACTACTACAACGATGGGTCTAACTGGTCGGGTGTGCATGTTGCTGCTGTGGTACAGGGCACTCGGCGGTGTGCTGCTAGGGGTTGGCTGGTGGAAGAGCCAAGTCGACGAGGCACTCTACTTCAAGGTCGGCGACGACGGAGTGGCCTGCTGGGTGCTGGTCTACGTCGACGACCTGCTCGCCGCCATTGGCGCGAACCATTGGCGAGGGCGATTCATCGACGAGGAGCAGACTTGGCGAGTTCTGAAGACGCCCGTCTTCGTCGACGCCTACGCGAGCTGACATTCGACAACGAGGACGCTCAGGAGTGCGAAGAGGAGGAGTACCGGCAGAAGGTCGGCTCGCTGCAGTTCGCAGCGACGACGACGAGGCCGGACATTTCCTTCACGTGCAGCAAGCTTGGAAGTGGCCTGACGGTGAGGAGCGACAACCATTGGCGCGAGGTCGACCGCTGCCTTGCCTACCTCGCCAACGCCCGTGACATCGCCCTGAATTTCGGCGGTGGACCAGAGTCGCTGAAGCTGGTCGGCTACGTAGACACCGACGACGCGGGCCACAAGCAGAACCAAACAAGCACGGGTGGCTACGTGTTCGTCTTCGGATGGGCCGTGGTCTCCTGGCCGAGCCAACGTATCAAGTGCGCAACGCTCTCCTCGACCGAGTCAGTGTATGTCACGGCCACGGACTCCGGCAAAGAGGAGCGTCGTCTTCGCTTCCTCCTCGCAGAGTTAAAGTTGCTCGACGCTGGGAAGCCGACCGTCCTCCGAGTGGACAACAAGTCAGCAGTCACAGTCGCTGAAGGCTTGGGGCTAAAGGGCAACCTCAAGCACATGGAGCGACGCTACGCCTGGCTGCAGCAGATGGTGAAGCGCGGGAAGTTTGTGCTGAAGTACATCCCGACTTCCAAGCAGCCAGCCAACTTCCTCACAAAGGCGCACTGCATTTTCCGGCCTTCAACCAGTGCTCCGTCATGGTCGGCCAGATGCGTCTTGCGGACGTCGGCGACGGTGATGTCGAGGTGCAGCAGTAGGTGCCGCGCCCTTCTGTACGGTTGGTGCGGTGACGGCGTGCTGTCTGCTGGGTGCACGCCGGCGACGCGTTTTCTCCGTGGAGTTCTGCCGTGTGGGTAGGATGCCCAAGCGTGAGCGTGGCAAGGGAGTGTTAACGGGAGTGAAGTGTTGGCCCCGCCCTCGCTTGGGCGACGCCGACTTTCTGGTCGGGCGCACGGGTGGTGCGGTCGACTATTCTGCGGGGTTCGACGCGTGCTGGGGGTGTCGACCTGCAAGCGACCGCTGTGATGCCGCCGTCGATGGGAGCCGGCGGTCTAGTTCAACAAGGGAGGTCGACGGAGTAGTTCGTCGACATGCGTGGGACTTGCGAGCAGCTGTCGAGGACTGGAGCTCGACGACTACAGCTAACTGTGTTGGTCGACGGGGTTGTCGACCAGTGCAGTTTGAGGGGCACGGTGGTCGACGAGGGGTTCGTCGACCAAGGCGCGCACTTGTGGTCGACCGGGTCGATCAGGTAACCTGCTCGACGAGTTCTGCGGAGGCACGCGAACGTCGTCGAGGCAGCGATGGCGATGGCGACTTCGTGCTGGTATCTCGAAGTCGATGTGGCTCGTCAGGCGCAGAGACCAGCCGACGGGCACGTGACGGTGCAAGTTGGGCCAATCGCCTGCGCGCACCTACGAGCGTGCGCACTGCTGTCATCTACGGGTGCAGCGCTGGACAGCCGCTCTGCTGCAGCGTTGGCACGCCGTCGACCTGCTGTGTTGGCAGGCCGCCTTTTTGCAGCGCTCACACGGCTCCTCTATGCAACGCTGGCAGGCGGTCGACCATGCTGTGCTGGCGGTCGATCAGCCTGGCTGCAGAGTTGCTAGGTTCCTTGCTATCATTGTATGATCAATTATGTAATGCAACTTTCCCTAGTGAAACTCTTGCCAAATTGTTGTGTGAACGCACAAGTGCTAGAGAACGCTAAGGAAGCTACGACCGCTTCTAGATCTCGTGCCAACTCCTGTAGTCTAGCTCCCGATCGTTGTAGAGTGAATCTTCGCATCTTCGACGCGAAAACTGACGACGTGATGTCGCAGCAGCAGTTGAAGCTGCTACCCCAGATCTGGTTTTCTCTATATGAAACAAGGTGCCTTCATGAAAGTATTCTTCTCCCACTGACGAGAACCCAATAGAACCTTGACGCCATGAATCATTATCTTCCAGCTACAGATGAGCATCTTGTAGTTTATTAGCTTTTCCAAAGACAGCCATGTTTGCATGAGTTTCAGGGTCAGCGTCATTGTTGGCGTTGTCTTCTAGTTGAACATAAAAATCTTGGAGTTTCTTGTCTAGATCTTCATGCTTAAGCATTTCAGGAGGGAAAACGTCTATATCATCAAACACTTTAGTAGCCATCGAAGTAAAGATCTTGGAATTTTCATGAAGTAAACGTTGTTGTCGATGAATGTCAGCAAATGACGATAAATGGAAGATGTTCCGTTGACAAACTTGTTTGAACTTGAGTTTCCCGTGCTGTCTATGACCAGCAATGCTTTTTCGATGCCATCTTTGGTAAAGACTTGAAAACTGTCCAGCCATTGTATTCTTCGTCGGGACAACTTAAGCAATGTCTGAAGCTTGAAAGTATTTAACCTGAAAACACGGGAACTTTAAGAAGCAGATTCGATGAACCAATGTCCGCCGTGTGGACATAAATTTGGTATCGAGAGTCAGCTCTTGGTCTGCAGATCCCGAAACTATGTTCAGATTAAGACACTGACTAAGTTAGAGTTGATATTGTAGACTTAGAAGTCTTTGACAAGAAGCTATGGCTGAGAGGTTTTCGCTAGTTTATTCACCTTATGAATGAACATTCCCTATGAATATCTTTTTTGGCACAAACATGCACACACACACACACACACACACATACACACATATACAAGCACGCACGCACGCACGCACGCACGCACACACGCACACACGCACCCACCCACACACACACACACACACACACACGCACGCAAACACACTCACACACGTCCACACACACACACATATACACACTCTTTTTTTACACACACATAGACACAAACACACCCAAATACACACACACACATGCACGCACACACACACACACACACGCACATTCACCCGCAGACACACAAACACACACACACACACACTCACGGACACACACACACACACCCACACGCACACACATGCACGCACGCACGCACGCACACATGCACACACTGACACACGTCCACCCACACACACACATACACACAAATTCACTTTTTACACACGCATAGACACAAACAGACCCAAATACATACACACATACACACATGCACGCACACATACACAGACACGCACACTCACCCGCAGACACACACACACACACGTGCGCGCGCGCGCGCGCGCGCACACACACACACACACACACAAATGAAAGATTGGATGATTTATTACAAAAAAAGGATGCCTACACAATGGAAAAGGTAGTTTAATACTTGTATTTCACCCCTACCCTTACTCCCGGTGCTCCCCATTATCCATCAAGAACATCTCTAGTGCATCAACGGTGTACGTTCCAGCACTAGGGGTAATCACCCCTAAATGTTCGAAATTCCCTGTATGCAACAAGCCTCCTGCATCAGTTGCCTGTCCCCCAATCCCCAAACCTGCACTTGTTGCTCCCAATTGCGTCATCGAGGGGACATCATTGGCTTGGTTCTGAAAATCGTGACAGGCTGCCCCCTCGATGCGAGACAAGGGAGAGATGAGGCCCCAGGGAGAAAACCCAGAGTGTTCAGCATCTCTCAGGAGCAACTGGTCCGCTGAGAGGTTAGGCAGAGGAAGGGTCAAGTCTGCCATGATACGCTGTTGGGCACCGTACAACTTCTCAGCACTAGGCTGGTCAGCACGCATCTGCTCGGCACTAGGGTGGTCAGTAGGACAGGCATCAGCAGGCATGAAGCCTTGTGGTGCAGACTCCTGCATGAAGACATCTCCTCGTCTGTTGCCAGCATTACAGCCACTGGCTCTCCTAGAGGCATCATGCTCCAAGTCATCAACGCCGCACTTCTCTGTGTTGCTGTATCCACGCAAGCTGGCCATACCATCAAAATTGGTGGGTGGATTGGCAGGGGAAGGAGGGACATGGCGCGAGTGGGGGGCTGCAACTTCAGCACCAGATCCAGCAGCAGCGGTAAAAGCAACATCACCAGCAGCTGTGGCAGCAGCAACAGCAGCAGGAACGCCAGCAGCAACACTTACAGCAGCGCCAGCAGCAGCACGGGCAGCAGCTGCGACCGTAGAAGTCCCAGCAGAACAGGTCAGGGAAGCAGTTAGTATGGGGGGATTGGAGCGGAAGGGCAGTTGTTGTTGGAAGCGAGTCAGATGCTCCTGATGCTTCTGAAGTAGCTGCAGCTGCTCTTGCTGGTGCACCAACTGCAACTGCTGCTGAAGCATTGAATGCGACCGACGCTGCTCCTGCTGCTGCTTCTGCCACTCTTGCTGCCACTGCTGCTGCCGCATTGGCTCCTGCTGCTGCTGCTGCTGCTGCTGCTGCTGCTGCTGCTGCTGCGCCATCTGTCTTTCATCAAGCAACAACCTCTGCTGCCCCTCCAGCCGTCCCTGCTGCAGCACCCCTTCTCCGGACCTCCTGGAGGGTATGCAATGCTGCTTCTCCAGTCGTTTTTGCAGCTCTTGAGCATACTTGCTGACTGGAAATCTTGGCTGGAATGTTGACGCACGCCACATTGTCCTGCCCAGCTGTCCGGCTACCATTGGCCCCTGGTCATGGGACTGTGATCGCCGCACCCTGTGCAGTGGGATAGTCAAATCTGGTTTGGGAAAGCAGGCTGAGGAGGATGCCAGACTAGCCACACCAGCAGGATCAGAAACAACAGAAACACCTGCACCACCAGCAACGCCAGCCATACCATCGACACCCCCAACAAGTGCAAAACCAGCAGCACCATCAGCAACACCGGCTGCAACGTTTATGGTAGTTTTCAAGCCATTCCCACTACCCACATTGGCAGCTGCAGCAGCTCTACCATCAACCGGACCGACAACACCCACACCACCCGCAACGTCAGCGCCACTTGCACCGATCACACCACCCACACCACCTGTACTTCCCACAAGGGCCTGGGGCGCAGGGGATGAAGAACTGACGACTGGTGGCTCCGGAGGTACATGTTCGGAACGAGGGAATGAACGAGGGTTGGGTTGAGGCTTGGACCGAGGAGGGAAGGAAAGCTTGTCGTTTCTTTCCAATTCTGGTGTGTGGCTCCTGAACGACTGCTGCTCCTCCCACTCTTCCACAGGGACACCTTCCTGTGTGAGGCCTGCCGAAGCACAACGTGCAGATGCCTTGTCCCTCCTGCCAGCCGTAATATCAAGAGAGTTGCGTCTCAGGAAGCTCGATTTGAGTTGCTGCTGCGGCTGCTGCTGCTGCTGTTGCTGCTGTTGCTGCTCCTTTTGCTGCCCCTGCCGTTGGTCCTGCTGCTGCTGTTGCTGCTTCTGATGCCGCCACTGCTGTTGCTGCTGCTGCCATTGGTGCTGCTGTTGATGCCCCTGTTGCTGCCCCTCCTGCTGCCCCTGCCGTTGCTGCAGCTGCTGCTGCCCCTGCTGCTGCCACTGTTTCTTTGCGTACTGCTGCCCCTGCTGTTGCTCCTGTTCCTGCTGCTGCTGTTTCTGCTGACCCTGCTTCCACCACTGTTGCTCCCCACTCTCTTGCCCCTGCTGTTGCTCCTGTTCCTGTTGCCGCTGCTTCTGATGGCGGTGCTGCTGCTGCTGCTGCTGCTGCTGCTGCCCAAGCCCATGCTGCTGCTGTTGGGGGCTCTGTTGATGCCGAGGCACGTGTGGAATCACAACAACTGAAGACCTGCGGGACATGGTAAAAGCATACCGCGTGCCATGATCATTCCTCTCAAGTGGCCCAAAGGGGGGCATCATGATAGGTGCATAGTGCATCATTTCATCATGCCAACTTGGAAGCATGCTTGGAGCTGAGGCAGCA